TCAGAGAGTGTTTGGGTGTCTTGTCTGAGTGTATGAAATATCTCAATCTATTTTATTGGCAAATACTAGACAGGCGTTGTTAAGTAGTCTTTGCTTAGTAGTCTCACAAGTGACGTAATATTCTTTACCCCTCAACCATTAGATTATCAACATTAATAAATTAGCTTAGACCATTCTGTTTCACTCACAAAATACTCAAAGACAATTTTTTTTGCAATTTCATTTGTACTATCAAGCATGCCATCACTTTACATACAGAATAGGTATACGGATTCCCTGTAGCTGCCCTTATCTCCTCCTGGGTGCACCCTTCACATTACCTCGGTGCTAAAACATGCATGAAGTTATTACAGCACACCTTCCATCTGACTGTCTTTCTAAGATTAGCTTCTTTGCACCATCGCCACCTCCTCTTCACATCCATTTACAATTCCTTCCCTTTTCCCTTGCCGTCCCTCTTGATATGTCCACAACTCTCTCATGGATAATGGGCAGCACTCAGATGCCTGGCTCTCCGTGTCACCTGGTTGCTTATATAAACCCCCAAGATAAAAGCAAAAGTGAAAATAACACCAGCATTACAGCATCTCATTTCAGCGACTTCCAAAGGGTTTGTGAATTGGTGTGTATATTGAATATGAAGATGAAGATGAGGGAAGAGGGGGTAGTCTGTTTATTTAGTGAAAGCAGTGTTATTTAATCTACATGGCGGCTATATGGCAGTTCTGAGGGGAAAAAAGGGCATTGTGGGATTTCAAAAACCTGCTTGGGGAATGAAAAAAATGGTCCAATACTAGTGATGAAGATGAAGAGGCAGATATAAGCAAGCAATATGCAGCACTTGAAAAGAATGCTTCCATTTATCATAAAGCTGCATGTATGAGAGTACATTGAGTGGGAGACTGTGGGATCTATAAATGGGACAAACACAGCAAAGTTGCAGCCCGAGTATTTTGGGCCTGTTTACTTTGTATTTCTAAAACTGCAAACAGGAGGCGACTCCTACTGAGATGGAGGTGGATGCCCTTGTTGGATAGAAGTATGGGTAAACCAAACTTATTATTAAAAAACGCAATTAACTTTAAAGACTTGCCTGAATGTATATGTTACTATGTATTGACATATATTATAATATGTAAACTACATCGTGACAGCACTACCATATCTACTTTTAGTGTCCAATCTCAGGTAAAATGCTGGAAATCCAATCTGTTTTTACAATCACTCTGCGACTCATCACCACTAAAAATAAAACCATCGCTTCATAACACAAATTCAAGTCAAAGGTGATTAAAAAAAAAAAAAAAAACAACAACATATTGCTGACCATATGACCTGATATGGTCACAATTTCAACGGTTGTGTAAATTCCTCTGAGATAACTACTGTTGTGATTTAGGGCTATACAAGAATACATTGAATTGAATTGAATCCCAGTCCTTCTAACGTACACCCTAACCTGTAAAAAAGCTAAGGGAATCCGTAGGTGATGTATTGATGTGAATGGGTCACAACACTCCTTTGGGAACCATGAGAGAACCATCACATTTTTACCAAAAACACATCAGTTGAGCGGGAATAAACCAAATTCAACAACAAATCGGACTAGATGTACCATTATCCTTTTTGACCACCATTGTTTTACCACTCCCAGTAATCATTACACTATTTTTTTTCATCACGCCTCCTTCTGCAATCAGGAAACTAAACAATGTGGCAGCTTAAGGCCTTGGAGAGCTCCGGTGGTGTCTAGTAGCACCTGAAAGTCTAATTAAGGCCATTGATTGGCTACATAAGCACACACAAGAGCAGTGGACATTCCCCACTAACTACCACCCATAGGACTAGTAATTAGCACACATTCTCCGCACTGTTTATCCAGCCGCATGCGGTCACCTCATTTGCTGTGCACGCCGTGTTCTTTTAGCGTTTGAGTTTTGCCTTCCAGTTGACCTTTTGCGCGTTGTTCCTGATGTTGTCTCCGCGCCTCACGCTCTCTATCACCACCGACCATCTGTTTTCAATCAGCATTCATATCTAGGGGCGTACTTTCTGTGCGGAGGATGCTTCACAATGATTTTGGAGTGCCAGGGGAGAGACTAAGGCGGTTGGATGCTGGGTGTCTGAATGGGATGGACTTGATATCTTGTGATGATGACAAAGTAATAGAAGGAGAATTTCACCGTCCAGGTTACTATCGAGATCATCAGAAATCTTTAACTTTGCATTCGTCAGTCACAAATTACAGTTAAAGGACACTGATGCAGCCACACTTGCCATGGGGAAATATAGGCCTGCCAATTTGTGCTAATGGCTCATCTCAGTACACGGATGTATTCACCTTATTAGTTTGCAAAGGGCTGCCAATCTTCACAGCAGTTGTACACGCATGTTTGGACTCAGAGGTGCTGTACTTAATTCTTGGTAGCGATTAACATTGAATTTCTTCAGCAATCAAGTTAAATCTGAATGGATTTAAATAACATGGAATAGAGTGGACACTATAGTGCAGTGATTTTCAACCAGTGAATTGTGGTACAGTAGTGTGCCTGGAGAGGTGGATTGGTGTGACTTTGAAAAGGATCCAATATCATCTGATTTGTCAAAAAAATTAGAAAAGAAACTAATGTGAGAAGATTGGAAGACTGTGTACTGTGTGATTTTGAATGAACTTTGATGGGAATGACTTTTCATTGCTGATAAAAGCTGCTGATTTCAGCTGGTGGCGTGCCACGGCTAAAAAAAGGTTGGGGAACACTGCTATTGTGGACACTTTAGGGCTCAAGGATAAAACAACATTGTATATAACTGTATGTACTATACAGTATCATAGTAGCATTGTCTACGTATGTTTTAGTTGTATTGTGTGTATTATTGTTTTGAATTATGGGGGTTGGAGAGAGGGGTTGGTAAAAAAAAAAGTTAATTCACCCCCTTTAGAACCTTGTATTAGTGGGAATTAACGCAGGAATGTCAAAATAAAGGTTTTAATAAAACAAAGTCCAAGACAAAAAACAAACTCCAAACGTCAAAATCCAAAGAAACCAGGAACAGAACGGACAAAGACATGAACAAGACAATGGACCAGCACCATGTGGAGAGGAGCACAGGGTACATATAGACACAGGGACACAGGTGAAACACATCAGGGCGGGGCAGACAATCAAGACTGGGGAAAACAGCACAGGAAGTCAAAATCAAAACCACAGAGAAACAATGTCAAAATAAAACCAAAGTACAAAAATAAATCCACACCATGACAGATTTATACTACATTTATACATATTATTCTATTTTAGTATAGAGTTATTATTTTATCTTGTGCTGTGTGCTCCTCATTCCTGTTCTGTAACAACCACAGATGGACGAACGTGTAGCCGCATAAACTTAATGTTAGAATGAAGATCAGATATAATAAACTCAAAATAGTCACGTGTGTATCTGCGAGAGAAGCCCATCAAGAAAACAAAGTCCTCTGTAACTAAACAAAATGATATTACTTTGAAATAGAATTGCATTTATTCCAGTCTTCCACGTCAATGGCACATGTCTCTTGTCTAGCCACACTACTTTTTCTCCTGCGATAACAAAGCTTTATAGCCCATTAAAACCCATACAAAAGCAATAACTGGCCATCAGGAAAAGGCCAAGCAACTCACTCCGTTTCACTTTGTCCACATTCACTCATAAATTGGGAGGGATGGAGGTGGGCAAACAATGTTACGATCTTATAATCCAGTGAGGGAGCATGGCTGAGCGAGCACGAGGTCAGATCTATCAGGATGATACACAAATTGCCAGTCACAGTAAAGTGCAGGAGATAAGGAAACACAGGTTAAGCCATGAGCAAAATATGACGAATAAATGGTGAATTTGATCAGGGCCAATGACATTACAAGACAGAGGTCAAGATGATTGGTTTTGTCCAACTGGATGATTGCTTCATAATGAAAAAATCATGACAAGGACACAGCAGGGTTCACTGTTGCTCAGGAAAATAGAATTAAAAAGTGGAAAATGCAATGTAAGACTTATTCAAAACTTTGAGTATTATTTTTATTTTCCTTATAAAACAGAGAAACACAAATATTATAGAGACAAAAGGGGGGTGTTGTAATCATCCGTGTTTGTCTGTAAGTAGGATTGCATCAAATCTACTTGCCGGATTGATCAGAAATTTGGTGTGTAGATGAGATGTGATGGTAGAAAGACCACATCAGGATTTCAAGACGATCCTTGGTGTTGGCAGGGTGTGCGATCTCTCAGTGCACATTGCAAGTTATGCTCAGGTCGATCTACAGTGTGGCTTTAAAATCATGTTTATCTAGACAAGTAGGTTTTGCTAGATCTGTGAGGAGGTGATTCAATAGGATGGATATCAATCGTTTTACTTTCTCAAATTGTAAATGGTTTGATCACAGGCCATTTGCCAAATCAGGCCTTCAAAACAATTTGATGAGGCTCACAATGTATCTTAAAAATAAATAATACATATTTTTTTGTTGCAAAATTACATTACAATTGAAGTCACACTGTAGATTTGATCAGTATAGAGGCCATTATGGAAGAATTTTTGTGTTGAATTTTGAATTTTAAATTAGGTAGATTTTTTTTTTTTCCCATTTGAAATGTTTTTATCATAAAAAAAAGCATGCTTGAATATTTTTGTCTTTGCAGTCACAAAAAAATCAGCTTACAAAAAATAAATGTGAAATATTCAAACATGCTTTTTCATGGTTAAACATTTCAAAAGAAAAAAAAAATCTGATGAGACTAAAAATCTTCAATACCATATGGCCTGCCAAAAAAAACTGGCTTTACTGGATATAACAGCTCAACTCAGAAAAATCCAAAATGCTTTATTCACAAAAGCGGCTACTCCTGGTGGAATAGCAATCTCCTTTGTCCCTATTTCAATTTTACTGTTATGTAAAACGCTTTTGGAAACGATGTGTGATTTTGCTAAAGGTTACCTGCTGTACAACAACAACAAGGCCTAATCACTTGTGTACCATATGCAGATACGACAGCAGGTTGTGTGTGGACTCTGGGAGTGGGGGGCAGCGTGGAACTAAGCCGGGTGCGGATACATCCAGGTGGTGCTTAATACAGGGATCGACCGGCTTCACGGATGCGGAGGAGCTGTGGAGATGGAGCGGTGCCAGCATCAGAGCGGGGGCCAGGCTAATGCCCAAGCTGGCTACAACACAACAGATTTCATATTCAAAAGCAAAAATAAACAAATTTGAACTACCTTTCTAGAGTCAATGGGCATCCACGTTTGCATGAAGTTACACACATATTTGCATAAGGGTTTTCTGGTTACGGTAGTAGTAAGGATTGTATTTCAAACATTATGTAAAATGAAAGCAATAAAACAAAATACAAAATAAAAAACAATAAAAAACTAAAAAAAAGAATACCTAAATAAATATAATACATAAATAAGGGGTGACCTTAGCTCAGTTGGTAGAGCATTGGCCTTTGAGCCTAAAGGTCGTGGGTTCGAGCCCACCATGAGACCGACTCCCACTGATGACTGCTGTCGTTGTGTCCTTGGGCAAGACACTTAACCCCACTTTGCCTGAAGCCCCCACTGAAAGATCAAGGCAATGCCATAGAGCGGCCATCCTCCTGTGGACTCACCACCTGCAGGAGGATCAGTGAGGGGCTGGTGCTCTATGTACTGGGTGCAGCTCTGGCCACACCCCCAACCCAGAAATGGATTAAGGGGTAGAAAATGGATGGATGGATGGACGGAAAACACAAAATAAAATATCAATTGGTCTTTTGGCCCTTTTATCACACGCATTAAATGATACCGTTTTTCTCATAATTTCACATATCCAGGGACATCTTACTTGGCTTGGTTATTGCACTCATACTTCACAGTAAGAACTTGAAGGATGTGATCCCTATGTCAGCTGAGGGCTTTTCTGTGTGAAGTTTTTGAAGTTTCTCCTTGAGTTTTTGAAGTTTCTCCTTGTGTCTGGATAGGTTTCCCCTGGGGCTCTGATTTCCCCCACCACCCAAAGCATGCACCATGGGTAAAATCCTCTAGCTCCAGTCCTGACTAAGGAAATCTCAAGATGGTCCCTGGGTGCAGACTGTTTTGACCACTTCTATACTGAAGGGTTGCCTTGGCCTATAGAGCAGGGGTCCCCAACCTGTGGCTGTCGGGAGCTATACCCACTCCCTTCTACATAAATATTCTGAATAATACAAAAAAATATGATTCACATGCCCATAACTTTAGTAAATGAAATGTAAAAATATAAAATAAAAATAGAATTGATAGTCACAGTACCCCAATCAGTTAGAAAACAGATGCAAGCCTGTGTATGTTTCCGCTGCATATAAAAGTGAAACCTTGAAACTAAGCTAAGTACGTTTTAACAGGTAGAAAAAATCGCTATCCTTTTCCTTCTCATTATTTCAGTCTTTTTAAGGCTTTTTACAGTGACCATGCTCCATAATCCTCTTACACGCATCGGTTCTGTTGACATCGCGTTAGCCTCAAATCCAGCTCTATATGCGATGATCTTTATTAGCCCACTTTCCACGGCCCGAAGCTTCGGCGTGCTGCAGACTGTAAGGAGCTTGGCTGGCAGGAGGCCTCGCACACTTGTTTCCTCCCTCTGATTCCACTGCACGCTAATTACAGACTGAATGTGCCATAAGAAACAAGCCGATTTTGGGGAGAAGTGGGATTGAGAGAGAGAAAAGAAGAGACAGGGAAATGTGAGGGTGGGTGGCTGAGCGGTTTAATGAACATGTCAGATGTATTTAAACAAATGGATTAGCACAGTCGGCTGGATCGCGCTCCCAAACAGTTTACAGACGGGAGCGGTGGGTGAGTGTGCGGGGCGTGCTGACTGTGTACGCACCGACAAAACGAGAGGAGGAAATGTCATGCATATTCATTAAGACATCATTATATTATAGCTTGTTTAAAGGGGTTTTGTTTTTGCATTGAGCACAAAGGCAGTGTTATAGAAATCTTAATTAATAATAATAATAATAATCGGTTTTAAACAGCGCTTTTCAGGACACTCTTCATATGTCCTGTCACCTGTCCTGGGTGGAGAAAACAAAAAGCAGTACTATTTATAGTTTTATACCGACCTCCTGGTCCTTACAGCGAGTTCCTAACAGAATTCTCTGACTTCATTTCAAACCTAGTTTTGGAATGGGAAAACATAGTTATAGCTGGAGACTTCAATATACATGTGGACGACAGCACTGACAGCTTAAACAAAGCTTTCAGCGCCGTACTAGATGGTGTTGGTTTTACTCAGAATGTTGAGGAACCTACTCACATTCATAACCACACCTTGGACCTTGTCCTGACCTACGGCTGTGATGTCTCCAATGTTGACATCCAGCGTCAAAGCTCGTTGCTGTCTGACCATTTCTTGATCACGTTTGATCTCGCTTTGGAGGACTTTCCTGTCCCGCAAGATAAAACCATAATGAAAAGAACCTTAAATGATAAATCTATCACAAGGTTCAAAGAACTAATACAGCCTATGTTGAATACTGCTGCAGGTGAACCTGTTCACAGCAGCTGCAGTCCCTCAGTCATTGACCAAACGGTGGGCAACACTATGGAGTCTTTAAAATCTGCATTAAATGCAGCAGCTCCTTTTAAAACAGAAAACCATTAGGATTAGATCATCGTCGCCCTGGTACAGTGTTCAACTCCACACTTTAAAACAGGACGTCAGAAAATTGGAGAGGCTATATCGCCACTCCCACTCGGAGCCTGTCCACAGGGAGTGGAAAGCAGGTCTCCGAAACTACAAGAAGGCCCTTCGCGGGGCTCGAACTCAATACTATTCAACTTTAATAGAAGCGAATAAAAACAACAGTAGATTTTTGTTTGGCACCGTCGCTAAACTCACAAACTGCCATAGCGCAATCGAGCCTAAAATTCCAAGCTCACTGAGCAGTGTCGACTTTCTCCACTTCTTTAATAATAAAATTACATCCATCCGTGACAAGCTGGAGGAGGTTGCTCCTGCTGTTAGTGGTGGACAGGTTGAAGCGGCATACGCGACTTCCCACTTAGACTCTTCAGTGGGCCTTAATAAATTCATGGCTGTGAGCCAAGCAGAGGTGATCTCTGTGGTCACATCCTCAAAAGCCTCAACTTGCATGTTAGACGCAGTCCCGACATGGCTCTTCAAAGACATACTTCCTTTGATAATTGAGCCTATCGTAAATATAATAAACGCATCCGTACAATGTGGCTATGTCCCACAAGCTTTTAAAACCGCGGTAATCAAACCCCTTCTGAAGAAAACAAACCTGGACCCAGAAATACTTACAAACTACAGACCGATCTCAAACCTCACTTTTATATCTAAAATCCTGGAAAAACTTATAGCTGAGCAGCTCCGCTGCCACCTGCAGGAAAATGATATGTTTGAAGTCTTTCAATCAGGATTCAGAGCTCATCATAGCACTGAAACGGCACTAGTCAAAGTCACAAATGACTTACTACTAGCTGCCGATAATGGACAAGTGTCAGTGCTGGTCCTACTGGACCTTAGTGCTGCATTTGACACAATAGACCACAGCATTCTACTGCAGAGGCTAGAATGTGATATAGGTCTTAGAGGAACAGCCCTTGGCTGGTTTAAATCCTATTTATCAGATCGATATCACTTCGTCAATGTGAATCAGGACTCGTCGCCTTATTCTGGAGTGGAATTCGGTGTGCCGCAGGGTTCGGTACTCGGACCGATTCTTTTTACTCTCTACATGCTGCCACTGGGAAACATTATTAAAAAGCATGGAATTAATTTCCACTGCTATGCAGATGACACACAGCTTTATCTGTCGATGAAGCCTAACCAGACAGATCAGCTAGAAAAGCTCAGTGCCTGCATAAAGGACCTTAAAATGTGGATGACTCTTAACTTCCTACTTCTCAACCCGGAGAAGACAGAAGTGATCCTACTCGGTCCGAAGCGCCTGCGTGACTCCTGTGGTGACAGTTTTTGGAGTAATTACATAAAACCAGCCGCAGCAAATACACGGACGTCAAAGGCCTTTTATCAATGCAGACGACCTTCTGACGCCATGCTGAGCTTTGTGAAGGTCCCTGCTGTCTGTCACACCCTTGTGTCTTTCCGTCTTGCATCTGTATGACCTGCATTTCCACCATTGTCTGTCTGTTCACACCCCATGCCACTGCCACCACAGGGGATGGCGCCGGCGCTTCCTGTGCGCCTCCTCACCGGTGGCCCCCTCCGCTCCGTTGTGGGCGTGACTATCTTTGGTGTGTGTCTTGTATACAGGAAGCTGGGGGCTCTGGCCCCCAGAGCTGAGCATGCTGCCTTTGTGTGCATATGCTGACTCTCCGCACTGTGCGTGAACAATAAACTTACGCTTTTGACCAGACAAAGGACCTTTGAGTTTCCTCCTTCATGGGGTATATATTTCTATAACACTCCCTCACTAACCAGATGGTTACTCTCGATAATGTCAGTATAATACCCAGTAACACTGTGAGGAATCTTGGAGTCATTTTTGACCAAGAACTCTCCTTCAAGGCTTATATAAGCCAAGCAACTAAAACGGCGTACTTCCACTTACGGAACATCGCTAAAATTAGGAATTTCCTTCCTAAAAGTGACGCGGAAAAACTCATTCACGCGTTTGTCACCTCAAGGCTCGACTACTGTAACGCTTTACTGGCAGCGTGCCCTAAAGCCTCTTTGAAGAGCTTCCAGCTCGTTCAGAATACAGCAGCTAGGATCTTAACAGGTACCAAAAAGGAGGGAGCACATAACTCCGGTGTTAAAATCACTCCACTGGCTCCCTGTGGAGTACAGAATAAAGTTTAAAATCCTACTCTTAACATATAAAGCCATAAATGGCTTGGCTCCTTCTTATCTCCAAGACACGTTAGTGTCGTATCAACCAGGTCGAGCGTTGCGCTCACAAAACGCCAGACGTCTGGTGGTCCCTAAGGTCTCAAAGGTCACTGTTGGTGGCAGAGCATTTAGCTACCAAGCTCCTTTACTGTGGAATCAGCTTCCCATTTATGTTAAGGAAGCAGATACGGTCTCCACATTCAAGGCCAGGCTTAAAGCACTTTACTTTAATTTAGCATATAATTAGGTAATATATAATATGTAGTGTATATATTATATATATATGCTGTATTATGTTATATATTATGTTATATATTATTCAATAATGTATTGTGTTATGTTGTATATTATGTTATATATTATGCTGTATGTTATTCTTTATTCAAGGCTAGGTTTAAAACAGTCCTCTTTAGTTTAGCATATGGCTAGGAAGGTAAGACTCGGAGAAGGTTAAACTCCTCAGAGTGTTAGTCGAGCTGCATAGGGAGTCAGTTTGCTGGGAGAAGTATGGTAACTTGAGCACTATCCTCTCCTCCTTCCTACTTTATCTGTTTAGCATTTTTAGGATTCTGACTGTAGTTTGTTCATTGCTATTCACCCGTTGTCCCATTGTCTGTTTCATGGTACGATGACGGGATCTCTGAGCCTGGCCTCCTCCATCTACACCTGCGGACTGCCCCGCTCGACCCGCCTGGGAGTGCTTCAGTCCTGCACCGGACCTGTCCACGTTCAGCGTCCACTGGTCCACGTTCTGTAGCTAGCTTAGGTCCTAGATCATTAGCCTGTCCGTCCGGAGGAGCGGATCCCTTTCTCATATGGGTCTCCCTCCCTGTGGGTTTCCCTAGTTCTCCTCCAAGGTTTCTCACTTTTTCCCACTGGGTTTTTTAAGAGTTTTTCCTTGTCGATGCAGGAGGGTCTTGTTGGACAGTTAGTGTCCAACAGAAAGGATTGGTGATGATCAGGACACTTTAGCATTCTACAACATGTATGGACATTTTC